ATTCACCCTGGGTTTCCAGCCTTTTTTTGTGAGGTTGGCTGAGCATCTGCTGGTGATTAAGGGTTTTGTCATCTGGAAAGGGCTGACAATTACCTCCAATTATTCCAACTAGGTCAGGTTCTTCAGCACAAGTTTATGCGATGACTCTTGGCTGGAATTTAGGATTTCGAACCCCTCTGGAGAGCAGAATCCACCTCTCCTCTCTCACATTCAGGAAAAAATTCCTTCCATAAATAACAGCTCCTTGTCCCACAGGACCTGACCCGTGTGTCCCTGACCTCCTGTTGTTTCAGGACAACACCCCAGGAACTGCACAACAGGCCTGGTTCTCCAGACCTGGAAAAGGCAGTGAAGGGAAATTCAGGATGCTCCAGGAATTTCAAGAAGGGTTTTCTTATCAAACTTTCCACGTCAAAATTCCCAACTTGCTTGGAAATGTCCTTTGGGGCCTCAGGTGCCAGGTGAGAGAGTGAGGATTGAGGTTTAAACTCTGTGTGGGCAAAAGATGCCTCATTTCTTTTCCTGGGATCTGCTGTCCTGGACAGGCTCTAATTTCCCACTGGGAGCTTCTCATCATGTGAGCAGCAACCATTTGACTGCACTAAAGTCCTTTAAAGATTCCTGCCATTCCAAACTATTCCAGGGCTCTTTGGACAGTTGCACTTCTCCAGTCCCACAGCAGATTGGGGCTGTCTGTCCCTCTTCTCCAGGGAAAGATCTTTTCCAGGTGTCCCTCAAAACTCAGAGTTTCTCCATGCTCCCAGTTCCCATTCAAGACTCAAAGTGCCTGGAAAGCTTCCTCAGGGATCTCCAGCAGAGCAGGAAAGGTGGAGAGAATTGAGAAAAAAAAAAAAAAAATCCCATTTGTGGCTCTGTCCTTGTCACCCTGCCCAGCACAGGCACCTCGTGTTTCCCAGCAGTGCTTCCCACAAAGGTTCCCTTGGGGACAGGAGAGTGTCCCACAAAACCCAGCTCGGAGCACACCCCCAGGAATGAGATGGTCCAAATGGGACAAACACAACTGGAAAATGTGCTGCACTGCAAGGCCAGGAGATTCCAACTCCTTCTCCCTAATTACATGTGATTGCTTCTTGGCAAGAGCTCAACCTGCCAGAGCAGTGAGGTTTTACAAACATTCACACAGGCATTAGATCATTGTTTGAAGGAGTTATTGGCAGCCCAAATCTGAAGTAAAAACAAGAGTTTAAAGCAGACCATATTGACCAGGGTGAAGCTGGCTGCTTTCATGTCTCCTGCTTGTCTCTGGACACCCAGGACCCCAGGATTCATTTCCTGTCACTCCCATCACCGTGGCATTCCTGGAGCTGGATGTCACCGTTTTGGGGGGTTCTGATTTTGGGGGGTTCTCTGCTTGTTGGGAACACAGGTTTATGGAATCAAGAATCCCAGGATGGTTTGAGTTGGAAGGACCTTAAATCCCATCCAGTGTCATCCCTGCCATGGACCTTCCCTGATCCCAAAGTGCTCCAAACATCATCCAGCCTGGCCTTGGACATTCCAGGGATCCAGGAGCAGCCACAGCTTCTCTGGGAATTCCATCCCAGCCCCTCCACATCCTCCCAGCCAGGAATTCCTTCCCAATATCCCACCCATCCCTGCCCTCTGGCAGTAGGAAGCCATTCCCTGTGTCCTGGCACTCCAGGCCCTTGTCCAAATTCCCTCTCCAATATTTATTTTTTCTCTATATCTGAGAAACACCCTCCCACATCCAAACACTGTCACACGTTGGGAGCGAGGCCTTTTCCCTTTGTATTTCAGCAGAATCTTCCTGCTTTGCTCTTGTGAATTCATCCTTGTCTCTGCTGGGCCAGTCTGACATCACGGGCTGAGCTCTGGACAGCTCCACCATCCTCTCCCAAAACCTTTGGCAAAGCAGCTGGGAGATCAAGCCCATGGCAAAGGACAAATGGGAATTCCCATGGAATCCTGCTGCCATTCCCTGGGGGAAAAAAACCCAAAAAAAACGCCTGCTGCAGAGGTGAGTCTGTCCTGCACCAGGCTCAGGTGGGGCCGGGAGCCTTTGGCAGCTTGGATATGAATAAAAACACTCCAGGCTCTGGCAGCCAAGCAGGCTGGAACTCCTCATGGAGCAGCTCCCACCCCGGCCTTCCACGTGTTCCTGAATCAGATCTCCTGAGACCAGCAGTGCCTTTTAAAAGGGAGGTGAGCTTGTCAGTGCCCAGCATTATCCCTGAAACGGGAACCAGCAGTTTCGCTGCACTTGGAGGGGCTGTGAAAGGGAAGGAAGCAGCAGAGCCCCCTTGCCTGGCACAGGGGGACACTCAGGGGCTCTGTAATTGTGAAGTTGCCCCGTGCTGAGGTAGAACAAACCCCAAACTAAACCCAGGAGCCTTGGGAAGGTGCAAGAGGATCCAGAGAAGGTTTGTAGGGGCAGCTCCCCAGCAGGCCCCTTCTCCTGAGGCCAAAACCCTCAGGCTGGAAAGGGTGGAAGTGAGGATTGCCAAGCTCTCCACCCATGAAAGTCAGGATGTGCAGGCTCCTTTCTTCCCAGATCGTGGCTTGAGTTACACAGCCCTGTGCTGCTGGCACAGGGAAGCCAGGGAAGTCACTTTACAGGAGTCAAAAAGCTCCTGTGCTGTCAGAGATTCCCTGCCCAGCCTGCCCAGGGATCAGGGAAAAGGCTGGAAAAGGCTCTCGTGACATTGCTCCAGGGATTCCTTAGCCCAGAGGATTTGGGGTTCCCACAGGGCTCCCGTCTTGTCCCAGAGATGCAAATTAATCAGGAAATAAACTAATCAAAAGTGGTGTCTGAACTAACAAAAAGCTTAAAGACCTTTTTGAATATTAACCAGTCCCACTCCCTGGGAGGGTTTAGTGATTATGGTCACCCTAAAATATGGGAATTCTGCAGGAGAGCCAACGTCCTTCCTAAGGTCAGACGTGATGAGATGGAGCCAAGAAGAAAAAATAATTGGTGCTGGTTTTAAGTGTTAAGCAATTCTGCCTCTCTGAAATAAGCAGTATAATTTATTGTTTTTTCTTGCTCACACAGCAAAATCCACAAACTGCCCAGACAACCAGGAGGGGGAATTTGTCCCCTCGTGTAAATCCATTTTTGCTTTGCAAAGCTGCATTCCCGAGCCAGCAGCTACTCCAAAGGCCGATCCCAGACCCCCCATTTCACTCCAGACACCCTCGAGGCTGTTTGGGTTATGGGATCACCCCAGGACAGCCCAGGTGTGCTGGCCAGCTGGTTTGGGATCAGGGGATGGACACAGCAGAGCCGATTGTCAGCGTGAGGCCCAAGGCGGCCGCCACTTTCCCAGGGATTTTCCCTTTGCTGTGTGTTTGGAAGGTTACACAGCTGTAGGGCAGACGCAGGAGGGGCTGGAAGCCTGCAGGGATCATTGCCTCCATCCCACATGTCCCATGGAAGGAAGCTCTCCCGTGGAATGACATCCCATTAACTCCTGCTGGTGGGAGCCTATTCCTGCGCCTGGAAATCCTTTGGATTCCAACTCATCCCGCAGATAACTCCGGTCGCATCCCTGACCTGCTGACTCGTGTTTGTTTTCTCGTTTTATAAGAACCAGGTTCTTCCCTGCTCTCATTCCTGCTGGGAATGAACACTGGCCGGGCGTGAGGCTGCTCCGTCTCGGATACCCGAGATGGAAAACCGGGATCTTGTCCAACAGGCTGTCTGCTTTCCTGGGAAAAACCTCAGCTCCACACGCTCCCAATTGTGCCATCAGCTGGAGCGAGGTGGAATTTCACAGGATGGGATGAAACAGCTTTTTTTCCCCAGACGACTTGTGAGGACAGAAAGTGCTTCCAGAGCCCAGGAGAGCTCAGGGAAGGAAATCTGGAGGGCACAAAGCCTGGCAAAGCTTGGGAAAAGCCTGAGTGCTGTCTGGAAGGTGGCGGATCACTGCCTAGGTCCCCAGCAAATCCCAGAGATGGGATATTGGGAAGGAATGAGGGTGGGTAGGCCCTGGCACAGAGTGCCCACAGCAGCTGTGGCTGCCCCTGGATCACTGGAAGTGTCCAAGGCCAGGCTGGCGGGGCTTGGAGCAATCAGAGACAGTGGAAAGTGTCTCTGCCCATGTCAGGGGTGGCACTGGACGATCTTTAGGGTCCCTTTCCCACATAAACCCCTCCATATCTGCCCCCCCCCCCCCCTTTCCCGCCATCGCCTCAGCCCTCAGGGACTGCGCCCCGGGGTCTCCCGACCCCGCGCGCAGGGGCTGCGGGCGGCGGGACGCGCCGGGACCAGGCGGGGGCGCCACCGCCCGCGGGCCCCGCTGCGCCTGCGCACAACCCCCCCGCCAGCCGCCGGAGCGCGGGAAGGCAGCGACGGGCGGTACCACCANTGCGCCTGCGCACAACCCCCCCGCCAGCCGCCGGGGGGGGGGGGGGGGGGGGGGTCTGTAATGGCCACGGGGCTCCGGTGTGAGGCCTGGAACCCGCCTGGGCTCCGGTGTGAGGTCCGTGACGCTCCCGGGCTCCGGTCCGCGGCTGACTCAACCGAGGGAACGCCGGGCAGAGAACTGACGCCCTCCGTTAATCACGACACTCTCCCCCCACAGCCCACGTTGGGTATGGCCGCCCACCCCTCAAGCCCGCCGCTCCCGTGACGGCCCCGCCCCGGTGGGCGCTGAGGGCAGGGGTGGGGCGGAGGGCGAAGGGACGGTTCCGGGGCAGAAAATGAAGCGACCCCAAGGGCAAAAAAAGGTCAAACGCAGGAAAACAAAGGCATTATTCTAAAACAGCAAAGAGACCATCCTGGGACAGCAGAGTGACTGTGGGGGCAGTAAAGGCATCGACCCCAGAGAAAGCTCAGCCATCACAAATATCCCAAAATGAGAACAGGGACGGGGCCTCAAGCCCGTTTATTGCCCATTCCTGGGAGCACAGGTGGCTCCGCGCTGCTGGGGTGGGACAAGGGACGGGAGCAGGCTTGGGATGGGGACAAGGGACGGGAGCAGGCCTGGGATGGGGACAGGGGCCGTGCCTGGCTCTCACGGCCCCACCCAAGGTGTCCCCGAGGCCAGCGGGCTCCAGGCGCTGAATTCCCCGGAATCTGCAAGATCCTTGGCGGCCACCTGGACGTGGTGGAGGCTCCCGGGCTCCAGGTCCGTCAGGGTGTGGGATGTCAGCTCGTACGGCCCCACCTGGGGACAGCGGGGTCAGGGACAGGCCGGGCACAGCCCCAGCCGTGCCTCAGTTTCCCCAGGGCGGTGGCAGTACCGTGGTGGGGACGGAGTCGTTGTCCCGGGAATAGCGGATGCGGTACTGGAGCGGGAAATACTCCGGGAATGGCCAGGATGAGGGAGGGCTCCACTCCACCAGCAGCTTCTGGGGCTCCCCAGGGATGGGGGAGACCCTCAGGGCCTCGGGGGGGTCCGGCTTTACTGAGGAGACAAGGAATGAGAGAATTCCAGGATGGTTTGAGTGGGAAGGAGCAACAGCCAGAGAACGCGATGTTACAACGCATTTTGAAAGTTTTTTGACCAATCACAAAAGCAAAAAAACATACTGACAGTAGTTCTATCCAACCACTATAAGTACACGTATACCTTTGGTTAAAACAATGCTTGCTTATTTCAAATACAATACCTACTTGTAAGCCTTAAAATACAATGCACAAAGCTCCATTATTAAGCTTAGACCTTCCTAATATCTTGCTAGATAGACTTTTCTGCAGCTTAGAGAGTTATTCTAGCCAAGTATTAATACACAGACCATTGTTCTATTTGTCCTTGCTTTCTACTTTTCTATTTTCTTTTCTACTTTCTTCTATTTCGTATAACTTTTCTGCTGACATGCCGTATGCTTTCCACTTAGCTCCAATTGCAGTTTGCTGTCTCTGAGGCCTGCTTTTCTGCAGTTTTCCCAAAACCCTCTGATTTTAAGGATTCCCACAGGAAGGGACCTTGAGGATCGTCTCATCCCACCTTCCACTATCCTTGGTTGTTCCAAGTTCTGTCCAGCCTGGCCTTGGATGCTGCCAGGAATCCAGAGACAACCACAGCTTCTCTGGGAATTCCACTCCAGGGCCTCACCAACCTCACAGCCAAGAGTTCTTTCCAATATCCCATCTAAATCCTCCTTTAGATGAAAAACCAACCCCCTCGTCCCACCACTGCGTGGAAAAAGTCACTTTCCTCTGTTTTTGGACGTCGTGGCTGCAGGATCCAGCATGGGATTGTTGGGGATAGGGCCCTCATGTCCCCCTGGGACAATCCGAGCCCCATGCACTGATGATCCCACATCCCAAAGCAGGGCAGAGAGCCCCAAAGGATGAGACAGGAGGGTCCTGCAGGGCACCCCGGTGTCCCCCAGCCCGCAGCACTCACTGATGTTCTCCAGGAGGAAGGGCAGGCTTCCCGAGGCAGCTCCCAGGGGGTTCCAGGCTGTCACGTTGAGCTCGTAGGGACTCAGGGAGAACACCTGCAGGTCCCCGAAGGAGCAGCTCCGCGGGCCCGTGAGGGTGCACTCACCTGTGTCTGCGCCGTGCCTGGGGACACAGGGACAGCTGCCAAGGGCTGCGTGACACGGGGACAGGCTTTGGGGACCCCCACTCACCTGTAGGTGGCCACGAAGTCGGTGTCCAGCAGGGGGTCAGGGCTCAGTGCCCAGGAGCAGTTCACGGCCTGGGGGTAGCTGGTGGCCCAGCATTCGATGGCCGGTGGCGAGGGCGGGTCTGGGACAGGGGACAGGGGTCACCCCGCTGCCAGCACCCTCAGGGACCCCTGGCCAGCGGAGGGGTCACAGCAGGGCTGGGGTGGCACTCACAGCCCAGCCGCAGGCAGATGGTGGCCCAGGTCTCGCCGGTGACAGGGTGGTGGCAGCTGTAGTGGCCCTCGTGGGCCAGGCTGGCATTGGGCAGGGCCAGCCCCGGGGCTGGGGACGTGCCCAGGACCGTGCCCCCCCGGCGCCACTCAGCCGCACCCCCCGGGCACGGCAGCAGCACCTCAGTGCCCAGGGGGCCGTGCTGAGGGGTGCAGGGACCTGGGGGACACGTGGGGACACGGTGGGGACATAGCAGGGCGGGGACACTGCATCAGGAAGGGTCTGGGGCCCCCAGACCTCGGCCCCTGGTCCCCCCATGTCCCCAGACGCCCAGGGTCCCTATTGCTCCATCATCAATCCCTCCGTGCCCATCCTCTGTACCCCCATGTCCCCAGTCCCTCCAGTGTCGCCAGAGACCCTGTCGTTGTCCCCTGTCCCCCCACTATCCCAAATCCCCTCCATCTCCATCCCCAGTGCTCCCAGTCTGCCCAGTCCAGCATCCCCAGATCCCCCCAGCCTCCATCCCAGTTCCCCCCATGGTCCCCATACCTCTGTCCCCATTATCCTCATCCCCAGTGCTCCCTGCCGTGCCGTTGTAGGGGACAGTGCACGCAGGTGCCACCAAAGCCACGACCCAAAGCCACCTCATGCCAGGAGACTCAGCGGGGCTGCCCAGGCACCTGTGGGGACAGGCAGGACGGTCAAACCCCAGCACTGGGGACAGCACAGACACCACAGGTCCCCAGAGGGACATCACCCTGGAGCCACCCCACCCTGCTGTGCCTCAGTTTCCCCCCGGCCCTGCCACACACCCTGCAGAGGGAGGGACTCCAAAGGGGTCAGGAAAGAGAGGGGGTGAAAATTCCACCCCTGCAGCCCCGCACCTGCAGTCAGGGGTTTGTACCCCTCGGGTGGGTCCCCACCTCCATCCAGGGCAGGGGTGTCCCTCACAGAGACCCCCAGAGCCCGGCCTGGGGGGTCTCCCCACTGTCCCCAAGCCCAGCACTACAGGGACAGCTCCTGCCCTTGTCACCTCCCACCACAGCCCCGGAGGGGACACGCTCTGCTTTCCCTGGATTTGGGGCTGCCCCAGACCTCCAGCACCCCCCGCACTGCCCGTGGGGACCCCAGTGTCCCCAGACTCTCACCGCAGCAGGGCCAGCTGGCACCGCAGTGTCCCCGCCGGATCCCGGCGCTCCCCAGCCCATTTCCTCGCAGGAAGCGCCGTTCCCGTGGGACGGAGCCGCTTCCCAGCGCGCTGCCCTCGGGATCTGCGCCCTTGGGAAGGGATTCCAGCCCCGACCAAGAGGGTTCCCACCTCTCCCTTCCTTCACGGTCACCCCTCCCCTCGGGGGATGGCAGGGCTGGAGATGGTGGCACGGATCCCCTGCTGTCCCCAGGTCCCCACAGTGCCCCGTGCACATCCCGGTGCCCCCAGAGAGGAGCCACCCCATTAGTGTGACTATAAATAATTTTATTGCTGCTGTGCTGGGGGTGGGCTGGGTGCCCGGACAAGCAAAGGGACACGCAGGGTGCTGTGACAGAGCTGTCCCCCCCCTCCCTGTGCCACCCGTGCTGGCAGGGGCTCATCTGCCCTGCTCCTGCAGCCGCTGCATCCTCAGGATCTGGCACAGGAGTCTCTGCACGTCCTCGTCCATGTGGCCCTGGGGTGGAGGGGACATTGGTGGGCACATTGGAGTGGGGACATCAGGGAGGCTCCCTGCATGTCCCTGGGCTGGCACCTGGCTCAGCCTCTCCGTTGCCTCCTGTGGATGGCAGGTGGCTCAGCCCCCACCCCAGTGTCCCCCAGCTGTCCCCACCCCAGTGTCCCCAGCTCACCTGCACGGCATAGAGCAGGTGGCTCCGGTACAGCGTCACCACCTTGCTGTGCCTCGTCTCTGTCTCCTGCAGCACAGGGAGGGGGTTTGGCCACAGGGCTGGGGGCTCGGGGGAGCCCCAAAGCCCCCAGGTGACCAACCTCCAGCTTCTCCTCCAGCGCCTGCACCCGGGCCTGGAGCGCAGCCGTGTTGGGCGGGGATTGTGGCGGCCCCCCTGACTCGGGGAGGGCATTCAGGGCTTCCTTCAGCCTGAAAACCTCCTTGGAGAGCTCCGTGATCTGCACAGGCCACAGGGGTTACAGGTTACCCAGAGCCTGGCAGTGTCCAAGGCCGGGCTGGACAGGGCTTCGAACACCCTGGGATAGCGGGAGGTGTCCCTGCCCTGGCAGGGGGTGACACTGGGATGGGCTTTAAGGTCCCTTCCAGCCCAAATTCAGTGACTCCGTGTGTGCCAAGGCCACCATTCCCCTGCGAGCAGCCCTCCATGATTCCCTGTCCCCTACCTTCCTGTCCCTGTCCCTGACCATCCGTGCCGCGTCCTCGGCGTGGCCGTGCAGCTCCCGCAGCCGCCGCGCCTCGTCCTGGGCCTGCTCCAGCTGCTTCTGCGCCGCGCCCAGCCTGTCCTCGGCCGCCTGCCGCTCGCTCTTCATGAACAGCGCCTGCCTCTGCACGCGGAAAACCTCCTCGCACGTCTTCTCGTGCCGCCGCTCCAGCTCCTGCAGCCGCTGCGCCAGCGCCGCCGCCTCCGCCCGCAGCCCGGCCTCGGCCGCCTCGTGCTGCGCCCGCGGCACGGCCTCGGCCAGCTCTGCCCGCAGCCGGGCGGCCTCGCGGGCCTTGGCGTCGGCCGCGGCCTCCAGCTCCGCCAGGCGCTCCCGCAGGGCCCTCGCCTGCTCCTGCAGCGCGGCCGTGGCGCCGGCGTGCTCGTCCCGGGGCACCCAGCCCTCGGCCTGCGCCCGCTGCGGCCACGCCGGGGCCTCCTCCTCGTGCTGCCGCAGCCGCTCCCGCAGCGCGCCCAGCTCGGCCTCCCTGCGCTCCAGCGCTGCCCGGAGCTCCGCCAGCTCCGCCGTGTCCCGCGGCCTCGCCTCCAGCTCCCGCCGCAGCGTCTGCGCCTCGGCCTCGGCGCGCCCGCAGCGCTCCAGCAGCGCTTCCTTCTCCCGCGACGCTTCCTCCGCAGACGCGCCCGGCGAGGCCTCCGCAGCCTCCAGCCGGGCCTGCAGCTCCTTCAGCCGCCGCTCCCGCTCCTCCAGCTCGCTCTGTGCCCGCTTCAGGGCCGCCCGTGCCTCCACCAGCTCCGCGCTCGGCTCCCGCTGGCCGGAGGGTGAGGAGGAGGGGGATGTCTGCACCCCCAGCTCGCCCAGTGCTGCCCTGCACTCGCCCCAGGCCCAGGCGGGCTCCTGGGCAGGACGTGGCCCCGCGGTTCCCTCCGGGCTGGGCTCCGAGGCCCCGCGCTGCCCGTCCCTGCCCTGCGCCCGCAGCCGCTCCAGCTCCCGCTGCAGGGCCTGGTACAGACTGGCGGGCACCACGTCCCCGGAGCCAGGGGGGCTGCTCTCGTCCCGCTCGTAGTTCTCCAGCACCTGCCCAGAGACCGTGAGGCCACCATGGGCCAGGGGACAAGGAATAGAGGGACAGACGGACGGACAGAGCGGGACCTGCCTGGATTTTCTCCCTCAGCTCCTTGTTCTGCACAGTCAGGGACTGCACCTGCCCCTGGAGCGTGGCCAGCAGCTCCTCGGCCGAGGGGCTCAGGGTCTTCTTGGAGAGCAGCATCTCTGCTCCTGCAGGGCACAGGGACCTGGGGCTGTGCCCACCTGTGCCCTCACTCCCCTGTGCTACCTCCCTGAGGTGTCATTGGGAGGCTGGCAAGACCTACCTGGGAACTCAAGTGGTTCTCCCTCCTCGTCCTGCAGTGTCTCGATGTCGTAGCTCGTGTTCTCCTTCTCATTCTGGGGGTGCAGGGTGGAGGTGACCCCCCCGTCCCCAGCCCTGGGCACTGCCAGCTGTGTCCTGCCCACACCCACCTCCATCGAGGACAGGCGGCTCCTCAGAGCCTCCACCTCCTTGCCCAGCTTCTCCTTCTCCCCGTCCCGTGCCACCAGCCGCTCCTCCAGCTCCTGGATCTGCAGGGCAGGACACGAGAACAAGGTCCCGTTGGCTCCTGGCAGAGTCCTGGTGGCACCAGGACCCCTCGGAGAGCTGAGGTCGCCTCCAAGCTCTTCCCTGGCCTCACCTGCTTCTCCATGGAGCGCAGGGAGGCCTCATCCAGCTCCGCCCGCTGGCAGGACCCAGGGAGAAAACAGGGAGGGGTGAGTGCTGTCCCCATGTCCCCGGTCCCCTCTGCTCCCCGGGGACACGGTGGCATCTCCCCAGGAGCCTGCAGCCGGTACCTCCCGTCTCTGCTTCTCCTGCTGCTCCAGGCCCCGGATCTTCTGCAGGAACTGGGCCCTCTCCTGCCGCAGCCGCACGATCTCCTCGTAGGCGTCCCTGTCCTCCTGCAGGGAATCACAGAAAGAATTGAGTCCAGTTCCTGGCACGGGAAACCCCAAAATTCCCACCATGTGCCCGAGGTGGCTTCTTGGCACAGACCCCCCCCAGTGAGGGGACCCCTCATCGAGGAGTGTTTTGGGTTGCTCTGCACCTGCCAGGTCAGGTGAGGACCTGGGGACCCATTTCTCACCTGGCTGGGGGTGCCCAGGGGAGGCAGAGGAGCCTTCCTCTTCCTCGGGGTGCTGCTCTTCTCCCTGACGGACGACTGGCTGGGTGAAGACGTCTGCGGACACCCCAGGGCAGAGGGGACGTCACACCCACAGTGCCCTCCCTCCTTCCTGAGCCAGGGGACCCTCCAGGGATGGGCACCAGCCCCTGACCTGCGACGTCTGCTCGGTTGACTCCTCTTCTGTAGGGCAGGGCAAGAGGAAAGAGAAATTGGGGAGATTTAGGGGCTCAGAGCTCAGGTGGGTGCAGGGGCACCTCGGCTGGGGACAGCACAGGCAAAGGCAGCCCCAAACACCCAGGAAAAGGGGACACATCCCCCCCAGGCTCTGTCCCTGGTGCCAGGGAGCCCGGGGTGGCCCGGCAGCCTCACCACTGGCCCAGGAGCGGCGCTGGGCCGCCTCCTGCAGGAGGTGCTGGATGAGAGCGTTGCCCGTGGCCAGCCCGTAGTGAGCAGCATCGTGGCCGGTGGCGTCCACCACGGCCACTCGGGCACCGGCGCTGACCAGCACCTCCACGGTGTCCACGCTGCCGCTCTCGCAGGCCAGCATCAGCGCTGTCCTGGGCACGGGGAGAGAGCGCGGGTGAGGAGGGGACAATCCCTGCGGCCGCTGCCGGCCCCCAGCGCTGCAGCCCCACCTGCCCTGCAGGTCCCGGCAGTTGACGGCGGCCCCGCGGTGCAGGAGGTACCGGCACAGCTCCGGGTGGCTCATCTTGGCAGCCAGGATCAGCGGCGTGGAGCCGTCCTGGGCAGGCGGGAGGGGGAACAGAGGAGGCTCAGATCCCCCCACGGGGCACTCGGCTCCCGATATCACCGCAATTTCCACGTCCCACCCCAATTTCCATGTCCCACCGCAATTTCCACGTCCCACCTCAATTTCAATGTCCCACCCCAATTTCCATGTCCCACCCCAATTTCCATGTCCCACCCCAAGCTGTGCCGCGTTTCGGGACAGCCGCAGCCTGGCACAGCAGGACCAGGAGCAGAGGGAGCTCACCTTGTCCTTGCTGTTCAAGGGAGCTTTGAAGTCACAGAGGATCTCGGAGCAGGAGATGCAGCCGCTGGCAGCTGCGGACAAGGACGGAGGCTGAGCAGTGCCCCCACGGGGACAGCAGCAGCACAGGGCTGGCACTGTCCCTGCTCACCTGCCAGGTGCAGCGCGGTCCGGCCGCTGCCATCGGCCACGTCCACGGGGCAGGAGGCCTGGGGGGAGAGCCTGGGTCACGGGAGGAGGGGGACAGAGGGACACACTGCTCGAGAGTGGCTCTGTGGCATGAGACTGACAGACTCCGTGGTGTGGTGAAGGAGGGGGACAGACAGACAGACAAACCCCCTCTGGCTCCACGCTGTGGTGAAGGACAAGGGACAGAGCCCCTGTGGCTCCCTGGTGCCAGGCAGCAGCACACAGAGCTGGGAATCAATGCCAAGGCATTGGGGAGGGAAGGGGGTTCAAGGGCAGGGAGGACACCGAGCTGGCACAGCACTTCCCTCCCTCCCTCCCCTGTGTCCCTCCTCCCTCTCCTGTACCTGCAGCAGTTTGCTGACACACTGAGGGTGGCCGTGCTTGGAGGCCAAGTGCAGGGCAGTGTAACCTGGGAAGGGACAAACAGGTCAGGGCTGTGCCAGAGGGGACAGCTTGGGGGACAGACAGAGAGACAGACACACAGCAGGATCTCCTGGAACAAGGCTGAACAGCAAGGGGACAACCACAGGAGCTCATCAGGCACTGCTTGAGCTCCTTTAGGAAACTGGGAAAATTTACAGCCCCCCAGGTGTGGCCACCACCTCTGTCCCCTCAGCCTGAACACCTGGGGACAACCAGTGGCCCATGGCATTAGGCAGGGGCACGTGGTGGCCATGCCCTCACCCGAGCTGTCCTTGGTCATGGCATCCACTCCGTGGGCCAGCATTGCTTCCAGGCAGTCCACATTGCCCCGTGTGGCGGCCAGGTGGAACCTGCAGCAAGACCAGGGGCTCTGTGACTCGTGTCCCGTGTCCCCAGAGGCTTTGGGACTCGTGTCCCCTGTCCCCAGGAGCTGTGGGACTCGTGTCCCCTGTCCCCAGGGGCTGTGAGATTCGTGTCCCCTGTCCCCAGGAGCTCTGGGACTCGTGTCCCCTGTCCCCAGGAGCTGTGGGACTCGTGTCTCCTGTCCCCAGGGGCTGTGGGACTCGTGTCTCCTGTCCCCAGGGGCTGTGGGACTCGTGTCCCCTGTCCCCAGGGGCTGTGAGATTCGTGTCCCCTGTCCCCAGCCGTGTCCCCAGGGCAGTCCTGGCACTCACGCAGATTTGCCCTCCGAGTCCAGCTTGGTGGGCACCAGGCCCTTGCGGAGCAGGAGTGACGAGACCCGCCCGGCATCGTTGTAGTCCACGGCCTGCAGCAGCTTCTCGTCGTTCTTGGTCCAGTCCTGGCTCTGCAAGGGAGCCCAGAGGAGGCTGTGACAGTGTCAGCTGTGACAGTGCTGTCCCCAGGGCGGGCAGGGCTGGCCTTGTCCCCAGCCCTGTCCCTGGGTGTCTGTGCCCCTCTCCTGGGAGCTCCCCCCCAGGTACGGAGAGTTCAGCTGGGATTGGGATCCCCTCCAGCCCCCCCCACTTTGCACCTCACAGAGCAGGGGATTTACAGACCCTGCCCGGTTTAGCTGTGCCAAGCTGGGATTTGGGAGTGAGCCCCTGCCACCCCAAAATCCCTGTACTAAACCCAGCCAGCACCCACGGGAGCCCCAACCCTGCCCATTCTCCCCGCTGATCCCATTCCCAGCCCTGCTTTGCTCCCGGAGGAGGAAGGGATCAAACCAGGGCGAGCACAGCTGGCAGCGAGAGCAGATCCCCGGGGATGCTCCAGCCTCCCGGGATAACGGGGCACAGCGCTGTCCCCCCAAAACAGGAGCGCGGCTGGATGGGGATTTGCTCTCCCGGTGCTCCCGCACATCCCTGTCCCGAAGGAGCGAGGTGCAGCGGGACAGGAACAGGACCAGGACAAGGACCAGGACCAGGACAAGGACTGCAAGTCCTGGGTTCACCCCAGCCGGTGACGACAGAGCAGCGCTGGCTGCAGTCGCGGCGGCAGGAAATGGATGTCACCTTTCGGGAGCCGCTGGCACTTGTCCCAAAGCCGCCTGTGCCCGCCGGGTGCCCCCCGAACCCCTCCGGCCCAGTGGGACCAGCGGCAGGGAACAAACCAGTCCCCCAGGGCTCCTGGGCAAACTGGGAGGGTGGTGCCCACTCCCCTCGCTCCCTTGTCAGGCAAGGACAAAGCAGGATGAGGAGGACACGGGGGAACCCCGGGATGGAGATGGGAATGGGGACGGGAACGGGGAGTGCAGGTGGGGCGGGAGGGGCACGGCTCAGCCCGCAGGACGCGACCGGAGGGGAACCGGGAGGGGAACCGGGAGTGGAACCGGGACGTACCGCGAAGGAGGCGGCGGCACAAAGGCAGATCTGCTTCATGGTGCTGAGCAGGAGGCGGCGGGAGGACGCCATGCGCCCCTCGCCCCCCGCCCCGGCCAGCACGGGCACCCCCGAGCCCGAAGCGCTCCGGCATCGCCGCCCGGGCGGGGGCCGGGGCTGCGGCACTGGGAGCCGGACCCGCCTCCTCCACCCCCGTCCCTCCCTCCTTCCCTCCCTCCTCAGCATCCCTGCATCCCTGCATCCCGCCACGGAGCGGAGAGCAGCTCCCAGGCAGGGACCGGAACCCAAACTGGTCCCAGTTAAAGTGGGAGAGGTTGCGAGGGGGCACCTCGTGCTCAAAAGCACCCCCAAAACAGGGCTGAGCATCCTCCTGGCCCCCGAGGAGGGGGACCTGGGACACCCGCCCTGCGCTGGGGCACGGAGTGACCTCCTAGCGCTGCCCTGGGGCCAAGGGAGGGCCCGATCCCCCCGTCTGCACCTCCCGCACCCCCCAAACACCCCTCAGGGAGGAACCCCAAAACGCAGAGGGTCCCCAGGCGCTGTCCGCACAGTCCCGGTGACCGCGGGACATCGGGAGCCTCTCAGGGACGTGTCCAGGGCAGCGTGGGGAAACTGAGGCACGGAGCACCCCGAGCAGGATGGTCCCCCAAATTCCGGGTGAGGGGCTTCAGCCTGTGTCTCCATGTCCCCAGCTGTGTCCTGCCAGTGCACTGGGGACAGCGCTGTCCCCCTCTGCCCTCTGCGGCCCCGTGCCAGGCTGCTGCTGAATAATTGAGGAGCATCGACAGGCTGGTTCCACCGGCTGTGGCAGCTGGCAAAGCGGCACTTGTCCCCAGGAAGGGGACAGGGAAGGGACCTGGGACCCGCTTCCCTCTCCTTTGCTCTGCTCCACTCCCAGCGATGGCTCTGGGAGCACTGGGGGGGCACTGGGGGCTCGATCCCTCCCGCCAGGGTGGCAGTGCCAACCTCCGTGGGGCTGCAGTCCCCGCTGTGAGTGACCACCCCGCGTCCCAGGGCAGGTCCCCGTGTCCCTGTGACCCTGGGGACATCCTGGGGGAAATCCTCAGGTCCTCGTGTCCCAGCGAACATCCCAGGGCAGGTCCCCGTGTCCCCGTGGACATCCTTGAGCAGGTCCCCGTGTCCCCATGTCCCCAGGGATGGCACTCACATCTGCCTTCTTGAACCTGGCCTTCAGGCTCTTCATGGTGGCTCAGCCTCAGCCCTGCGGCACCTGCTGGGGGGGATGGCCACGCTTGGGGGTCTGTCCCTGTCCCTGTCCCTGTCTGGGGACAGCTCAGCCCCGCCGGTCCCGCTGCTCCCGGCCCGTCCTGGCGCTCGCAGCGCAGCGCCCGGAGCCGGGCACCGGAGCTGGGGATTGAGTTACGGCCGCGGCTGCGGTTACAGCCCCGGGCAGCCGGGGGGGCCGGCCCGGCCCGTGTTTGGGGTGCGGCCTGCGGGGGTGCCATGCCCGGGGACAGGGGACATGGTTGGCACCCCTTGCCCATCCCAAACACGGCCCCCGCGACCTTGGTGGCACCTCTTGTCGTGAGCTGACATCGCCTTCCCTGCCTTGGTTCTGCCAGCACCTCCTGTCCTTGCCAGCATCCCCTGCTCTCCCTGGCACCCCCTGCCCATCGCTGTTTCCCCCCGGGCCGGGGGTTCAGTGCAGGCGGGGCAGTGTCGGGGCAGTATCGGGATAGTGTGAGGGCACTGTCGGGATACTGTGAAGGCAGGCTCAGGGCAGTGTCGCGATACCGTGAGGGCAGGCTCGGGGTGAGGGCAGTGTCCGGGCACTGTTGGGATACTGTGAGGACACTGTCGCGACACCGCGAGGGCAGTCCCAGGACAGTGTCGGGATACCGTGAGGGCAGTCTCAGGGCACTGTCGCGACACTGTGAGGGCAGTCTCAGGGCACTGTCGCGATACCGTGAGGCAGTCCCAAGCCAGCGCCGTGCCCGCGCAGTGCCGGGGCGGTGCCGGCTCACGCTGAGGGCAGCCCCGCCTTGCCCGGCTCCAAGATGGCGGCGGCGGCCCCGGGGCGTGTCCCGCGGCCCCGGCCCCGCCCGGCTCTTCCGGCCGCGCCGCGGCCGCGCCGATGGCGGTGAATTACGCGGCCGGGCTGTCGCCGTACTCGGACAAGGGCAAGTGCGGCCTCCCCGAGGTGAGCGCGGCACCGCCGGGTGAATCCCGGGTGAACGCCGGGAGCCTCCGCCCGCCCGGCCGGGCCTCCCGCGCTCCGCGGGCCCCGCCGGGCCCGGTGCGTTCCCATGGTAACCGCGGCCTCGGCTCCGCCGGGACGCCCGTGGGGAGCGCGGCTCCGCGGAGGGACCGAGCCCTTTGTGTGTCCCCAGCACGTCCCTCCTTGTCCCCCTGCCGTGGGTGTCTGTCCCCAGACTCGTCATGGCCTCCTCTGTCCCGCTCATGTCCCCCCCAGCTCCCTCCTTGTCCCCCCTCCATGGTCCTTTCCTGTCTCCCTCACCCCACCCAAGGGTTCCCTCCTTCTCCCCCCATGGCTCCGTCCGTGTCCCCCTGAGCCTCAGCAGTTCTTGGGAAGCTTAAAACAGGGTTTGGGGGGAGCTCAGGGGCCTGTCCTGAGCCCAGGGGATGGTGAGGGGACAGGAACACACAGGGTCCTGTCCTTGTCCCTGTCCCTAGGAGATGGGGCTGGAGAAGCATCTCAGGAATTAAATCCCCTGCCCAAACCAGCGTCTCGTGTCCCCACCTCCATGGCTGCCATGTCCCCCGCTGTCCCTCGGCCCTGCCCTGTCCCCAGAGCCGGTGGCACTGCTGGTGACAGCTGGGGCTGAGCACACGTGAGGTGGCCCCGGGTCGCTCCTGGAGCCCAGCCTGGTCCAGCTGCCTGTCAGAGCAACAAACTCCCTGTTGGTGTTGGGAATTCCCAGCCCTGTCCCTGCACAGAGAACCTCCAGACCCTGCGGAGTCTTTCCCATTACATGTTTCTGTCGTTAAGGAATGCGAAATCCTTGATGGATAAGGAGGAATTGTGGGTTACTGGGGCTCCAGAATTATGGAATCCCAGGATGGTTTGGGGTTGAAGGGACCTGAAGGATCATCCAGTGCTACTCCTTCCACTGTCCCAGGCTGCTCCAAGCCCTGTCCCTCCTGGCATTGGACATTCCAGGGGTCCAGGAGCAGCCAGAGCTGCTCTGGGAAATCCATTCCAGGGCCTGTCCCTCACAGGGAAGGATTCCATATAATCCATGCCCACATCTCTCCATCCCACGCTGTTTTTTGTCCTTTCCCAGATTTTTGACCCTCCGGAGGAGCTGGAGCGGAAGGTGCAGGAGCTGGCAGAGCTGATCCGGAGCTCCTCCAATGTGGTGTTTCACACGGGGGCAGGGATCAGCACGGCCTCGGGCATCCCTGACTTCAGGTAAGGCCGAGGCCTGGCAGGGTGGCACTGAGTCCATCTCCTTGGTGGAAAGCTCTGACTGAACCCACACCTGCCCCATCCCTGCTGTCCATCCTGGATCCAGCTGCAAACACCATTTTCCACATCTCCACATGTGCTGTGTTTGCATCAACCCCCGGGATCGTGCAGATCCATGAGCTCTGCTCCCATGGATGGGGCACCTGGAGCCTGAGCTCTCCCTTCCTGCTCTTTCCAGGGGCCCCAATGGTGTCTGGACCATGGAAGAGAAAGGGCTCTCCCCAAAATTCGACACCACCTTTGAGAACGCCAGGCCCTCCAAGACTCACATGGCGCTGCTGGGGCTGCAGAGAGTGGGAATCCTGAAATTCCTGGTCAGCCAGAACGTGGACGGGCTGCACGTGCGGTCAGGATTCCCCCGGTACTGTCCCAGCCCCACGCAGGGAGTTTGATTCCCAAGGAATCTCTGCCCTGTCTGATACAGGCAGGGGAAGCTGGAAGGGGATAAACCAGCTGGAATTTAGAGGAGAAAGATTCTGATCCAGAGGGTTATAGAATGAAATCAGCCTTGGTTGCTGCTCTCTAGAAATGCTTCCAGGTGCTGTTTGTGCACGGGAAGAACAGAATCATGGAATTCCAGGATGGTTTGGGTTGGGAGGGACCTTAAAGCCCATCTTCCACTATCTCAGGTTGCTCCAAGCCTCATCCAACACTTGTCCCCATCCAGCTGCTGCTGTTTGTGGCTCTTGGTGCCACCTGGGGGCGAGGAGTTGGATCCAAGCAGGCCGTGTGCTCCTGGGAATGACCTAGGGCTGTGCTTTCTGCTCCTTTTCCATCCCCTCCATCCCCATCCCTGTGCATGGAGGGGCAGGAGGGAGGCTGGGAGCTCTGAGCTGCCCCCAGGGCTGAGTCTCACCCCGGTTATGGAGCTCTTGGAGCTTGAGCTGCTTCAGTTTGCTTCAGTTGAATCTCTTGAGGGAGCAGAAAATCAGTGCTGGGCCCAAAAGACCCTTAAAGAGCCTTTTTTTTCCCTTGATAATTTTGCCAAATCCCAGGGTTGGAGCTGCTCTGACTTACCTGGGTTCTGCTTCCTTCACGGCGAGGTTGGGATCCCACGTGAGATTCCCGAGGATCCAAGGGATTCCCTCTGCAGGGAGCTGAGGGTGGGAGAGCTCCACTCCCTGCGTGGAGGGGACCCGAGTGGCCGTGGCAGAGTTGTCCTCAGAGGAACCCGAGCCTCTCCTGAGCCTCGTGACAGCATCAGCTTTGTCCTGCACGGACTCCAGCCCGTTACAAAACCCATTCCCAGCACTTAAGAGCAGCCAGTGATTGTCTTGGGAGGGAAAAGTGCTCGGAGCTGCTGGGAAAGGGGAGGGGAGAGCAGCCGAATTCAAGGAAGAAAACAAAATGAAGGGAGTCACTGAGGCTTGAAAGATGCTGAGTGTGACCCTGATACCTCTGGTGCTTTTTGCTGAGGGAGGGGAGGCCCTGGCACAGGTTTCCCACAGAAAAATGGGATGGCCCATCCCTGGAAACAAGGATAGAAATAGAAACAGGAACAGGCCTTGGACAGCGCTCTCAGGCACAGGGTGGGATTGTTGGGGTGTCTGTGCAGGGCCAGGGGTTGAACTCAGTGATCCTTGTGGATCCCTTCCAGCTCAGGATATTCTGTGATCCCTGGGAACAGTCAAGGAGCAGCCTGGGACAGTGGGAGGTGTCCCTGCCCATGGCACGGGGTTGATCTTTTAAAGTCCTTTCCAACCCAACCCATTGAGATTCCAGGAGTCAGGATGTGGCTGAGGAGCATCAGTGTCCTTGGAGAAGGTGCCTCTCACAAACACCTTCATCCAGAGCTGCCTCCAGGGCATTCCCTGTCATTACAAGCCCCAAGTCCTGGGTCCTGCTCCCAGCCCCTGTTTGTTCAAACTAAATAACCATGGGAAAAGCAGCAGGGAATGAGGACAGAATTCCATGGTGCTCCCACAGCCCGGAGCCACTGGCTCCTGTTCCACTTCAGCCCAGCTCTGCCTCCCAAACGAAGCCTGTGCTTGAGTAAGCTGAACTGGGGCCAAACTGGGGGAGATCAAGTCAGTCCTGTCTCACGCAGCCTGAAGGAAGTTCCCAGTCAGCGTGGGGCTCTGAGGAAAATAGGGAGAGCATGGCTGTGTTTTCCTCTGGCTTCTGCTCTGAGCCTGAGGGGAATTTTAGGAAAAACAGGTGTCAGAGGGCTGGAACAGCATAGGGACAGACAGGAATGTTGGGTGCTGGAAAAGCAAAGATCTGGATGCTCCCAGGAGCAAAGATTTGGCTGATCAGGAGCTGCAATCAGTGCTGCGGATGGAAATATAAAAATTAAAAGGCCGGGACCTGCTGTCCCTCCCTCAGTCCCTGTTGGGGGAAGAGCCCATCCCCTGGCAGAGCTGGGATGCAGGGAAGGTTCCTGGGGAGGAGTAGGGTTCCCCTAGGGCTCCCCACCCTCACCTGTGCCTTTCTCCCACAGGGACAAGTTGGCCGAGCTCCACGGGAACATGTTTGTGGAAGAGTGCGTGAAATGTGGGAAGTACGTGAGCCCTGAAGGGGGGTGGGATTGGGCTGGGACTTCCATCCAGGGATGGGGGCTGGGATTTCCATGCCAGGGGGAAGATGGGCTGGGATTTCCATGCCAGGCCGTGTTGGGGGGCACTCCAGCCCTCGCTGTGTCCGTGTCTCCACAGGCAGTACGTGCGTGACGCCGTCGTGGGCAGCATGGGGCTCAAGCCCACAGGACGCCTCTGCAGCGTCACCAAGGCCCGGGGGCTGCGGGCCTGCAGGTGGGGATCCCTGCTGGGATGTGGGATGGGGGGATGACACAACAGCCCCTGGGATTCGGGAGAAGCAGCCCAAGGTGCAGGGAGATCTCTCTGGGTGCTCTCTGTGCCTTCACAGTGTGGGGACAGGGAGGATGGGACAGGCTCTGGTTGTTGTCCCCTCTGCCAGGGCAGCTCTGCTGCCTGTTCTCCTGCCTTTTCCAGGGAAAACCAGGGTCCCTGTGTGTGTTTTCCAGGGGGAAGTTACGAGACACTATTCTGGATTGGGAGGATTCCCTGCCTGACCGTGACCTGACGCTGGCAGATGAAGCCTGCAGGTACTGACACCCTGCTCAGAGGGGAGCAGTCCCTTCCCACCCATCCATGCCCTGGTTCTGGATTTCTCCTCCTCCCTGCAGGAAAGCCGATCTCTCTGTCACCCTGGGGACCTCTCTGCAGATCAAACCCAGCGGGAACCTCCCACTCATCACCAAGAAGAGAGGAGGGAAATTGGTCATTGTCAATCTCCAGGCAACCAAACACGTGAGTGAGCGTCCTACAGCTCTGCACTGCTCCTTTTCCCTTCCTGTCCCCTGCTCCAGGCCCATCCCAAGTTTGTCCCTGCACGTTGTCCCCTCCCAGGTGGCCTCTCTTAGCAGGCAAACATGCCTAGGGTTTAAACCTGCAACTCCTGCTAAACACGTAGAGATGGCAGGTAAATATTAGAATAATGGAAAAGGCCGGGTTGGAAGGGACCTTAAAGCTCATCCTGTTCCCTGTCTCATGGGCAGGGACACCTTCCACCATCCCAGGCTGCTCCAAGCCCTGCCCAGCCTTATCCAAGCAAGTCTTAGGAGCAGAGTAAAAGCTCAGCCTGAAGCCTGCTGTGTCCTGTGGGGTTTGCAGCCCAATGGAATGGCCACACACAGGCAGCCTGTGGAGGCCGTGCCCAGTTCCTGCTCAGATGTTGGTGCCCCATTTGTCCAAAATCTTTAATACCCAGAGCTGGGGGTTCCTGGGATGTTACCAGAGCTCCCTCCTGCCTGTCCTGCTCTGTCCCCATATCTATGCCTGTGTCTCCACCCGGGCCCCAGCAGAGCTTCGGGGCCAGCTCATGTCCCACGGGGAACGAATGACACAGCAGGGACATGGCCCTGTCCCTGAGAGGGGCCGTTTGTCCCCTGAGCTGTGTCCCTGCCGTGTCCCCTGAGCTGTGTCCCTGCCGTGTCCCCTGAGCTGTGTCCCTGCTGTCCAGGACCGCCAGGCCGACCTGCGCATCCATGGCTACGTGGATGAGGTGATGACCAAGCTGATGAAGCACCTGGGGCTGGAGGTGCCCGAGTGGACGGGGCCAGTGGTGGTGGAGAGAGCCGAGGTGGCCAAGGCCGAGCTCAGCCAGGCCGAGGAGCTGCAGGGGAGGCTGAAGGAGGAGCCCCTGGCCCAGCACAATGGCACCACAGCTCTGTGTCCAGGGAAGGCACCACGGGAGCGCCGGGATGGGCTCAAGCTGGAGTGTCCCAGCCCAGACATGGGGCCAACACCGGTGAAGAAGATGAAGGTGGAGCCTCTCCTCACCTGACCTGGACTGTCCCTGTCTCACCTGGGCTGCTTTTCCTACCGACTTTTTTTTATACCCTTAAATATTGTCCCTTTTTTTATGTCAGTATTAAACATACTTGAATTGTGGCTCGCAGAGCAGCTGCACCCATGAGCCTGGGGAGAGCCTTGCACAAGGAAATTCCTCCCTGTGAGGGTAGTGAGGCCCTGGAATGGAATTCCCAGAGAAGCTGTGGCTGCCTGTGGATCCCTGGCAGTGTCCAAGGCCACGCTGGATGGAGCTTGGAACACACTGGGATAATGGAAGGTGTCCCTGCCCATGGCAGGGGTGGCACTGGATGGGCTTTAAGGTCCCTTCCAATCCAAACCACTCCATGACTCTGTAATTCCACATCACTTGGTCATGGAAGGGGACTGGTGCTGGCTGGATCCCAGTTGGTTTCAGGGCTGGGAGCTGTGGGAGGGTGCCCTGGCCCCAGTTCCAGGTTGGGCATGGCTGTGTGTCCCCACTCTGCTGGGCCCCTCATGACAGCTGGGCTTGAGGTCCCCCTGGCCCAGGGCTCCTTGAAACCTTGTGGATCATTGCCTCTTAAACTATAGCAAGTGTATTTTTTCCAAAATATCTTCTATTTAGAGATGAAAATAAAATTCAAAAACCAAAAACCAAAACAAAACCAAGAACAAAACCAACCAGTTCCACCATCAGCAGCCAACCAGGCCAGGGCCCCTCTTGCTTCTTCAGCTCCATCCTGAGTCACCCCATGTCCCTTCCACAGCTCCCACCGTTCCAGGGGGGCAGGAGCAGCCCCTTCCCTCCCAGTAAGGCCAGTGGGAATCCTTCTCCTCTTCCCAGTCCACAGAATCCAAGCAAAGCCATGCAGGTCCAGCATCCGGGGGCAGATCCTGGAGGAGTCCCCCGAGGGTTTGTCCTGTAGGGGATGAGGTGCTGTGACCCCGTGGCACCCCCGTGCTCCCTGCTCTGCTAAAGCTCCTCTGCCGGCTCCAGCACCGCGGGCCGGCCGTGCCCAGGCTCGGACCAGCCCAGGGGTGCCAGCCCCGGGTGTGGCACGGTGTCATCCCCTGGCACAGCATGGGCCCGGTCCCCGTCCTCATGGCTCAGCCCCTCGCTGATCGATGCCCGTGTATCGTTCTGGAGGGAGCCTTTGGCCGGGTGTGTGGAGAATGTGCCCCCAAAAGCCTCGTGCAGGGTCTCGGGGATCTCCTCCAGGGCCTCCGGAGGCTTCTCCTCCCCGCCCTGGGGCTGGGGATGGGTGTGAACCACGCGGGAGGCGGCGGCGTTGTGCAGGGACCTGGAGAAAACTGAGCCCCACGGAGAGTCAGGGCCTGGGCCAGGGCCCTGAGGGTCTGTCACAGCTCTGGGTCGGCTCAGCACAGCCCAGAGCAGCCCTGGCATAGCCTAGCACACCCCTGGCATAGCCTAGCACAGCCCTGGCATGGCCTAGCATAGCCCTGGCATGGCCTAGCATAGCCCTGGCACAGCCCTGGCACAGCCCAGCACAGGTCAGCACAGCCTTGACACAGCCCAACCTAGCTCAGCACAGCCCAGCCCAGCCCTGGCACAGGTCAGCCCAGCTCAGCCCAGCCCTAGCACAGCTCAGCTCAGCCCAGCCCTGGCACAGCTCAGCTCAGCTCAGCCCAGCCCTGGCACAGCTCAGCTCAGCTCAGCAAAGCCCTGGCACAGCTCAGCCCAGCTCAGCA